ATTAGATTCTGTCACCCTCAAATGAGCCCCCTCACCGACCAACCTGAAGCATGACCAACTCAAATACAAAAAAGACACCCATCCGTTCATTTTCGATGGCACTTGTCCTCATTAGGGTCGCTGGTGAGCTGGAGCCGATCCCAGCTGACTTTGAGTAAGAAGCCAGCGGGACTGATGGCTCGTCAATCACGGAGGGGGCAAATAACGACAAGGAACCATTCATCATCAAATGCCCTAACATGCTCGCATTGCTTCGTAATGTGCTAGTTTGAAGTCTAACTTATTTGTAATTGAGTCTTGCCAGAACTCTAAATCGGTTTTGTTGATTTATTGATCAACATACCTGCCGAGCAGAAATGTTGCTAATTCCGTGTCGCGTCTGAATCCTCTCAGCGGCGTGTGGCCCCTCCACCTCTGAAAAAGGCAGCTTGTGTGTTCACCCTCGTTTCTCTCGGGACCGGTCCAATTCCTTCTTGGTTGTGGATATTCCTCCATGGTTTTAGCAAAGCTCCTCAATACAAAAGTGTGCCTGCGAGTAAAGTTGGCCGATGTAAAGTGGGCACTTAAGACAACCTTCCACCTTGACACACACACACGCACGCACGCGCGCGCGCACACACACACACACACACACACACACACACACACAAACACACACACACACGGAAAAAATGGACAGATAGTGCTTCCCAATTAACAACATGAATGTTGAATATGTTTTTACATCTGGATTCAAATGTGCTGCTCATAAATGATTGATGAGCGCAGGGTCCACCGCAAACACCGCAACACATTCATCTATGACGCGGCGACATTTTGACTGAGGAGCTGCTGCCCTCAACTGCCTCCTTCAACAAAATATGAGAGGTTCAATGACTGCTTTTGTAACTTAGTTAAGAATGGGCATAAACGTCTCGTGTAATTGATACCGAGCAGTTTTATTGACCTCATAAACTCGAATGATTAAACTCTTTTTGGTTTTTTAAAGACGTTGGGTAAGCCCAATTATAATAATAGTAATGACAAAGAGCTGAGACTTATTTTCAAAACACCACAGATGGTGACTCACTTTATGCAAATTAAGAGCATTTGAGGACACGACTTGATGTCATTTAGGATTTGAGAAAAAAGTGACACGGGTGAAGCCAATTACTGTAATCACATTAGATGCAACAGAGTTGTTTTTTGCTTCCTTCTTGGTTAAAAAAAAAAAAAAAAACTGAATACACAAAATGCAGCACCTAATGCAGAGCAGCTAAAGCTACTGTTGGCCAAATCCATAAAACAGCTCAAAAAGGTGGCCAAAAATCACACCCGGCCACAACTTGTGTTGAAACAGAGCTAACCATTTTTTGCCACCCCAAATGGCCGCCCGCTGGGTTTAAAGCTAATCTGGTTATGCATAATGTAGCTAAAGCAAACACACAGGCACAAACTACTTGTCATGTTCGAGGATGAAAAGTGCATGTCACATACCTGACTGCAGAATATCCACACCAGAGCCTTTTCAGATGAAGACAGCCATGATTGGAGCAAACAAGAGCCTTGCGCTGTGTTCAGGGCATCCGGGAAATCAAAGACCTGCAACTTAGGTTTGAGTCAAACAACAACAAAACATGTTGAGGACATAGCAATGTATCTACACACCCAATAAATACAGATCGATGTCATTTACATACCTCCTTCAAGGAGCATGAGACCCAGTAATGCTCCTTGTGGTACACCTTTATCATCATTAAAGGCTCTTTCCATCGAAAACATCTTGAGAAAATGTTGCTTGTTCAGAAGTCCATAGAGGGCCATAGAAAGTCCAAGGGAATTTTGCGCAAAAAAAACCCCAAAACGTGGTAAACACAAACTCAGGAATGAACACAAGGCGTTCATTAAGCTTCTGGACTTTTATTGGTATATTTACAAGAGAGGAATCATTTAAGGAAAAAAAAGAGCCTTATTGTTCATTCATGACTTTTAATTTTACGTATCACAAAGTGTCTGGACAGCAGCTATGCACACTCTCAACTTGAAATATTTAATTATTCATTATTTTTTTACTCGGCCTCTGGACTCATAAAATTGTTTAATGTTCTGGCTTGGAGGAGAAAGGAAGAAATATGCCCCGAGACCATCAGAGTTTGTGAAACAGTTAACTTGTGTGGATGTGTCCTTTTTTTTTTTTTTTTAATCTTTTGGGCAACTGCTGGAGGATGCAATTTTAAATCTTTAAACACATGCGGTGCAGCAGCCGGAGAGATTAAGTCATTGCTAATTTTCTAACAGAAAAAAAACTAAAAATAAGTGTACACACTGTGTTTATGAAACTAGATGCTACATAGAAAAAATAATGTCCAGCAATAAGTTTTTATTATTTCTTCTGTAATGAGATCCATTTGACTATCGCTGTTATTGGTAGATCAATTTATCAGGGTTTCACAGTACGTCTCTATTCCTGTCAAGGCAGATTTGTCTAATGTATTAATTTTTAATGTTGATTTATTATTTTTCTTTGTTGGAAGGTGTTGATTTATGCACAGCCAATTTTGTATTCCATTATTATTTGCAAGATGTGAATTCTGTAAACACACACACACACACACACACACGCACACACACACCTCTGCAAATACTAAATCTTTATTTCCAGTCATTTTTACGAAATGAATTCAAATGCAGAGTATAATATAATAACAATAATACAAACTGATTCTTTATATTCAGTGGTTGAGGCAGCTCAACCATCGAATATAAGCTCTTGTAATCGTCAATGGACTTTACTAATCGCACAAGCGAAAAGCCCACTTTATATTGACTGACACGCCAATCACTTGTAAAGCATTTTAGCGACGGATAAAAGATGCCGTACGCCATTGCCCTTCATCTTCTGTCTTCCCCGAGTCTTTGTGCGCGATGAATGCTTCCAACCCGGAAGAGCGCTCCCAATGGAATTCCAATCATTATATGCTGGATACTTGACGTTATAGTGATCAAACATCAGCAGGAAAACTTAAATCTGTTTAATGCACTCAACATATTCTGACGAGGATGGAGACACAGACTTTATTTCAAAGGGACCTGAACCCCTTAATGTGAAGCGACTCACCTTCCAGGCAAATGGCGGCGTCCTCGTAGCTCAAAATGGTCCTCGCTCTCGGTCAATTAAGTTGCAGGCGAGTACACACATTTGTCTTTTTTTTGTTTGTTTGTTTTATTCATAGCGGTTAAAATGGTCCCAGGTGTCAGCATGGCACATCATAGCCAAAAAGTGGACATTGGAGGCCACTTTTTGCCAAGTCCACTTTTTGGCTACGGAGTGATGATACATGTAGTTTATTAAATTGATGACGGAAGTGACGCAACAGCGCACGGTATGGCAACGCTTCCCGCCTAGCGTCAGGCAGAGCTACGCGGAAGTCGCATTGCTGATGTCAGACCCAATGCGGATTCACCAACGCTCCCGCCATACTGTGTTGCAGTTGCAAAAAAAGAAAAGCCACATTAAAAAAACAAAACAAAAAACAAAGTGAAATATTCTTAATTAGTGCGGTCCATCAACGAAATGCGACTTCCTCGTTGCTCTGCATGATGCTATGGCGGGAAGCAGTTGCCATGCTGTGCGCTGTTGCGTCACTTCCATCATAATTTAATAAACTTCATGCATCACTCCGTGTTATACATAAATTTTAAAAAAACACGACAACATCAGGCTTCAAATGGACTTCTCATGGTAGTCCATTCATTCTCTCGGCAGTTATGCTCTTCTGGCTGCTAATGAGAGCCCCGGCATCATATCTAAGAAATTCGTAATCATAATTATTTTTCAAAGGCTGTGCGATCCTAATGAGCTATGCAAATGCACGGCCTGTATGGGGGGGGGGGGACATACAAAAATGCTATGACAGATGTACAGCATGCCTTACTGTGGAAAGATACAACAGTGCCATCTAGTGAGAGCTTTCAAATCTCCTCCACTGTGAATATGGGTTACTTATTTTACTACAGCACAGCGCAAAATTACTTTACAAACAATATTATGAAAAATATTTTCATATATATACCTAATATTATGTGACATTAATATCAATTACGACGTAAGCGTATGAACGACACATTTAACGTTGAAATGTGCTCCAGATTTATTTCGTTCCGAACCAAGAGAATATCTTTAATGCAAAAATTGTGAATATAGACACGCAGAACAATAATGCTGATGATGATTCTTACCTGAAAGGCACCCAAGACAAATGCTTCCTCCAAAATGTAGCTTCAAACCAACTAAAAGAATGTATGAAGACAATTAAGAGCAACGCACTAACAATAATTAGCGTCTTTTACTTGTCTATCACGCTATTTTAAAAAAAAAAAAAAAATCTTAACTTGAAAGGTTAAATAAGACAATAGTGGTCATGCTGTTTCTGAAGTGTATCTTACATAAATACAATAGTCACTGCTTGCGCTCCCTTTTGTGACTACATTGTCCGCTATGTGTGCAAGGTCATTAAAAAAAAAAAAATCTACTATAAAGCGGAACATTAAAGTACATAAACAACTGTAATAAATTACATGTAGTAGAAAAACACAGCAAAGGGAACTACTATTTCCTTGCTTTTCAGGTTGGACGACGGCCATTCGTCCGCGATGGTCTGCTGTCAGCCAACAAATGAAAACAACACTAGGTGTCACTCCGTTCTCTTCTCACGCAATAAAGAGGTCCAATATTCGATTCGAAGCCAATGTGTCACTGCGTGTTCTTGTACCGAGACGCTGAGAAGTCAACAGAAAAACAATCGCTGCGTGTTTTTCCTAAGTGGCAAACCGTGTGGAACACATTGTTAGCACCGTGCTTTTGCTAATTTGGGACTACACTTCTAAAAGCCAACCACATCCCCCCGACTTCCTGGATCCGCTTTCTGGTCCTGCCCATAAGCGCTGTTGCATGTTCGTGAAGGCTCCCCATAGGGATGAACTGCCTATTAGGTGTTTTTTTTCTTTCTTTTTTTTTTTTTTTTTTTTTTTTGAAGGGAGTCCTCTTCTTTTTGCTCTTGCAATCGTGTGGTGTGTCATTTATGGAGCGAGATGGAGACGTAAGACGTCGGGATGTAGCCTTCGTCCCCGTTGCTCCTGCGGACGCGTGTCCAACCGTCGCCTTTGTCTTCCTCCACCACGGCCAGCACCTCTCCTTCCTGCATGGCGATGGTGCCTTCGCTGGCGCCTGCAAACGTGGTCACAACCTCGATGAGCAACATTGCATTGATTGAAAAATGATTGCCCCCAACTGCAATGCTGTTCAGCTCACCAAATTTCTTTCATGTGTTTCCGTCAAGGTTATTCATTTATAAATGTACAGATTTTTTTTTTTTTTTACGACAATTGTTTCTATTTATTATGATTGAATAATTGGTGAAATTCTTCTTATGCTGGTCGTGTTTTATTCTGAAAGTCTGACGTTTGACAGGATGTCAAGGCGATGTTGCCCTAATACCAAGCCTATTGGGAAGGTTGTTATCAGAGATTTAAACATCTAATATTCTCTTTTAAAATAGACAAAAAATTGCAGATTTCTTTTTTTTTGGGGGGGGGGGGGGCTTTATCGGGGGCTGATATCGGCCCCCTTAACGAGCATCCGATACCTTGAAATAAGGCCGCTATTGGCCGACACCAGGTCTCGCCCATCCCTAACCGGTATGCCAAGAGATAAGATAACCTTTATTTGTTCCACACTGGGGAAATTTGCACTCTACAGCAGCAAAATTGGGGGGTGAGAGAGGGAAAAAAAAATTAATTTAGTTTAAAATATATATTTTTAATATTTCCATCCATCCATCCGTTTTCTGATCCGCTTATCCTCACAAGGGTCGCGGGAGGCGCCGGAGCCTATCCCCCGGCTGTCTTTGGGTAAGTAAGCGCAAACCAGTCGACCACCGGGTAGCAAAACCCAATGCCAGCAACATACCGGGAAAGTTATACATGGCGGTGCAGTTCCCAATGGGCGCCGCCAGTTCCTCATCCTCAAAGTCATCATCAAACTCGGCATAGATAGCATGGGAGGCGGCGTCGGGCGTGCTTCCGTCGGAGTGAGCGCCATCCAGGCTGCGGAGAACACACGCACACACACCCACACAGGTGTGTAAGGGAAATCGCAATGGGGAAAAAACAGCGATGTGAGGAAGATGCGAGTCACCTGAGAGGTTCGTGAGTGTCGCTGTTGTTGAAGGAGTGCGATTTGTATCGTGGTGTGTCGCCTCGACCTCCTGCATCAGCCAACCACGTCTGGAAAATGGAATAGTATGGTTAATAGGATGGTTCTCAGAGGATACTGTTTCCAAAAAATTGGATTTAACATATTCTGACTTTATCACTGGACATTAACAACATACGAATATTGGGGTAACTGCACGTTTTAGGCAAATACAAATTGAATGGGCTTCATGCATACAAGGACAAGAGCGGTGTACTGTCAACTAGTGTATTGGTATTTTCTGCCTTCAATCTAAAACAAAATAAAAGGAAAGCATTAAACGTAATTACTTCTGAAGTCTCAATAAAATGGATGATCTTTTGAGCGAGATTTTTTTTTTTTTGGTCTACGATGCATTAATCTGTATTGTACTGGTCTGCATCACTCACTTTCTCTTTAAACACCGACGTACACGTCAGCTTAACAATTGCCACATCTGACCCGTTAAAGAGGAAGCATTTATTTGAGGTGTGGCATTTCACTACTCAATCACACAGTCATTTAATTTCCGTTTTTTATTTTAGAGGATTAAAAAAAAATAAAAGCACTTATACGTTAGACAAGGAGTGCCGTTAACAAGTTGATTTGCAATGACGCCATGATCACGGAATGGCCGTGGAGTGCTACTAAGCGCCTGCGGGTGAACTACCTAGCGCCTGCTCCCTTCAAACCAAAAGGTTTCATTTCATCTCTCAGTGGCCTACTCCCAAATACTTCATGATCAAATGAATAATTCACGGCGCGGCCGCTCGACCTATTACTGGGCAAAAGAAATAATAAGAGCCCGGAAATCAGCATTACCTCATACTTGTTTTGCTCCCCCCTGAGGCGTTCGATATTCAGATTTGTCTGATTGATTTGGGGTGCGAGGCTGGCGGCGTCTCCCAGATCTGGATTTTTCTCATAAACACTCTTCATCTTCCCCAGGGCCTCACTGACAGCCAGACAGAGAGAGAGAGAGCGAGAGAATTTTAGGAGTTTCACTCACACAATGCCATTGTGTCACGACTCTGCGAATACTCCGTCCACTTCGAGCCACCAGGGAGCCTCTAATGGAGATGAATGGGACACACACACACACACACACACACACACACACACACACACACACGAACCTCTGATCTATTTCCTTCTGCAACTTTCGGCCGGTTTCCTCCAGTTTCTCGTGCAGCCTCTTCCTGCGCTGCTCCGGAGGGAGATGGGTGAAGTCCTCAGTGACCGCAGGCTGTGAAAAGGTCACAGGAAAATCGACTTGAAGGCCGCAGAAATGTACGGAAAAAAACAAGCCCCAAAAGAAAGAAGAGGGGGGGGACAAACACCAAGTCTCGCATTTGAGTTCAGCTCACTTTGCCCCAAAAACAAAAACAAAACAAAAAAATTTCGTTTAGTCACAGTTGGTCACGTGTTAGGGTCACACTGGGAAAAAAAAAGTCATAACTTATATTTTCAAGACAAAATGAGTTTTTTAATATATATTGATGGTGGTGATAGCACAAGAATAAGGAAGGACATTTTCTTGTAAGATTACTTTCACCTGAAAATATTTTTTTAAATTGTTCATAAATATTTCACCGTATTCTCATAAAGGTACAACTGAAACCGAGGCGAGAATTTTTTTTTTATTATTATTTACAGTGTGGCCCTAATACTCTTTTGCTTTTCATTTGAAACATAATTCAAAGTCATCAGCAATATTTTCTTGTCATGCCCAATAGTGAGTTGAAGCCCAAGCGTGACACTCTTTTAATTGCTGCCTTTGTTACCCTCGACTCAAAGAGTTAATTGGGCCACACTGACTCGCACAAAATAATACCACAGGGGGGAAAAAGAAAAAGCCACGATGACAGACGCCATCTCGAGGTTGTCAGATTATTAGACTAAAGCCACAGATTGAAAAGGATACAGCAGTGAAGACTGACATTGTACGTTCCTTTTTTTTTCTCATTAAATTGCAACTTTTATCCTGGAATTCCCTGACTTTTTCCTCACCCCTGTAGCCAGTGTGGCCCTAACACTCCTTTGTCATGTTTCTCGGTGCAAAAAAAAAAAAAAAAGGCACAATTTCCTTTGAGCGTGACCAACTATGTCTCCTCTCATCCACCAACAAGCGACCACCTTTTCAATGCAAAAAAATTAAAAACTAAATAACAGCATACCAGCTGCAGTGGTTTGCCCTCGAGCAGTTGAGAGTCAGATTTGTTTTTGTTTTTTTTAAATCATAATTAAATCAGCATTTGCATGGGGAAAGTGGCCGCTTCGAGTCACCCGCTTCGCATAACCCGCGCCATGAATGCGCTCCATATTACCGGAATCCTCTGGGGCGTGAACTTCTGAAGGGGAAGGAAGCAGAATATGTATTGGAACGCATATTTAGTTCTTGTCAAAAGAGGTGGTGACCCTCGACAAATGGCATCCACCACGTGTGTGATGCGAATAACATTCCATTTCCCGCACACGACACACATTCAAACCAAAGCATGAAAAGACCTCCAACTCAACTAAAGCGGCGCTTTAAGGTGGCTCTCCTTTCGGGAGGGACTCACCGATCTCCTGAGTGTGCGGAAGGACGAGATTCTGGGTTTGACTGTCTTATTGATCTCCTTCAAACAGTACGACAGGGGGTCCCGGCCAAACTTGGGGGACGGGGGTCCATTAACGGGCGAGGGGGCGGGAGGGGTGAGGAAAGGTGGGAGCGTGGAAGGAGAGAGCTGGAAAGAAGCCGGGGGTGGGGGAACAGCATGAGGCAGGCGGGGTCGATGTACAGCAGGAAGGAGGCAGAGGCAAAAGGGGGTTGGAGGATGGAGGGGTGGGAGAGGGGGGGGGGGGACAAAAAGACAAACAAGGATGACAAGAGAAAGAAAAAGACACCGTCAACAACTTGGAAGCACAACACAAAGCGAGAAGACAACATTGAGCCCCGACAACATGACAGCAAACACACGCAGGCACGCACAGGGGCCTTTGGGCTCCATCCACATATTGAAATTTTAAAAAATAAAATAATAAAGAACAGGAAAGCAAGCAGCACCCCAACGAAGCAGAAGCAGCAGTCCAACACTTGCAGTTACACTCAGTTACCACCAGAGGCTGAATTCACCTCCATTCGGTCAGATTATATTTTTTATTTTGCTTATTTAACATTTAGTTCACTGGGAACGCACGATATAGTGCCTCATGTTTGGTGTATATTTATACACTTAAAGTAGAGGTGCAATGATAAATCCATCACTATTGATGATCAAATTAATTGATCATTGGTTTGGATCCTTGGAATGTCAGCCTCTCAACAGTAACTACTACCTGATTTCTATCGTGCTCCACGTCAGCAGATTATTTTAGTGTTGAATCAAAATAAAACATTTGCAAAAAACCGCTTTTATTTTGGAAAACAAGGAACAACATTATTGCCCATTTCCTGACAAGCTGAATTCATCTGTTTGCGCATTTTCTGCACTGTCAATCTAAAATAAAGTCCTGTTTTTTAACCAATAAAGGGATATACATTTTTTGTATTTTTTTTTAATCATCCAATTCAGCAACAAAATAATCATTAGTTGCAGCCCTGCACTACAGTATCATCTCTCCAGTTTAGTTGACTCATGATTCTCTCCCAGGTGGCAGCATTTCCAATATGAACAGCCACGTTCTGTCAGAATATGAATCACATCAATCAATCAATAGCCGTCAGATTGAAAGATAAGAACTAGCCATTAATCCGGTTCACTAAAAAGGCGTGCGTGTTGAACATGGGTGTACATTTAACCAACACGGGACGCTCTTTAGTTTCCGTCCAAATCGAAAAACCTAAAAGAGGCCTCTGAGAGTCTGAGAATTCAGACGCTTGAAGTGGAGGTGCCCGTTTCCCTCGAGACTACGAACAGGAGAGGAGGGGTTGGTGCTCTCAAGGCTCCAAGTCCCTTCAAGTGAGCCTGCTATTCATCAGGCCGTGGGGCCTGATTGGGACAGCATGACTGATGTCACTCACTCACTCACTCA